AGGACTTGAGTTTGGCTCTGTCACCCTGCTCGCAATGGGACCCTTAAGCAATCTCCACCCCAACCTCAGTTGACTTCTCAGTCCACAGAGATTTGATCTCCAAGTACAGTTGCACAGATTGTGCAAAAAAATTTTAGGATTTAATACATATGAATTTCTAGCCAAAAGAAAGAAAGAAACTCAGATCTTCTAATATTTAATATACAGCCTGACCCCAGGCCTCCTCACTCCATTTTTTTTTTTTTTTGTACCAGGGATTGAGCCCAGGGCATGTAACAACTGAGTCACATCCCCAGTCCCTTTTTTTTTTGAGAGCGGGTCTCATTAATTTGCTCAGAGTCTCACCAAGGTGCTAAGGCTAGCCTCAAACTTGAGATCCTCCTGCTTCAGCCTCCCGTGCTAGGATTACCATGCTTGGCTCACTCCTTGATTGTCAGCCAGTCATGTCCCCTGCATTTGTTGGTTTCTGGAAGGGATGAGTATGCTCCACCAGGCAGAGAACTTCACGGCCATACCCTCGCTCTGATGCTTGATTTTCAACATATTGTTATGTATTGACATCTACATGGGCCCAGTCTGCTGAAATCACAGTTTATAATGTCTGATTCAAACTAAGTTAGTCCTCTTAAAAAAAAAAAAAAAAGTGGTGGGAGGAGGTGGACAAACGACCCCAAAAGATTTCAGCATTGAAACAGCAAGAAAATAGCATTTCCCAATCCAAAGACTCAGTTTCATTTATGATATCTAAAGGAAAAGTTAAGTTCAGTCTGTTGAGTGCTACAGTAGAGATTTACAAAGATGAAATCTCTTTTCATCAGGATAGAGGTGAAGTTTAAATAGTTATGGAGGAGGAAGCTTTGGGGGAAGGAATATGATATGATAAGGCATTTGGAAATAAAGTTTGAAAGTATTCCCATTGTTTGATATATATATATATATTTTTTTTTTTTTTGCTGAAAATCTTGTGTATTCCCAAGATTGTTCATATCTGCCCTTCAAACAACGAACCAAAAAAAGAAAATTTTAATTTGCTTAAAAATCTAAATGAAGAGTTTGAGTGGGTTTGAAATCCATTTGCTGAAAGTATTAAAATGCAACATATTCCAATTTCTTTGCAAGAACAACTGATTGACATGAGAGAAGATGGAAATTTGCAAGCCAATTTTGAACAAAACCTTTGCATAATTGGAGGATGGAATTGAAAATTGAAAATTAATGTCATGATTTAATGAGCTGAGCCCACAATGCACCTCGTCCATCTGGATCTAGGTGTCTTTGTGAGGCCTCCCTTTCAGCTGTGACAGCCATTAAAACTGAATATTGAAATAAACCAGATTTAGAATGAGACATTCAAATCACCGTCCCACAAAGTGTAAAAACCAGAATTTTCAAAAATAAACAAGCCTATTCAATCACATTGCTCCTACGGTGAGAGCAAAAGGGATTTTTATTACATGAAACACCATGAAAATTTCTTTTAAATATTGTTCATTTATATTTATTATATGTTCTTTCATTCCTACTTACAGTTTTATAATGCACATAATAGATTACGTTTATGGATATACGTATAATGGTCATAATATATTTTAATGTACATATATTTTTATAATGTAAGCACTAATCTATATTCATGGATGTAGCTCACATGTATAATTTATAAGGTTCTACGTGTATAATTCATAAATAAATAGATCTCAGAGTGACAGTTCAACATTTTTTTTAACTGATGGGATATGTAAACAATAAAATTAAAGTTCAAGGATATTGGCAGAGCCAAAAGGCCCCCTCAACTTCCGGGTGGAGACTATGTGGGCCCACCCTTTCCTGGGTGTGGGCCTTCATAATAAAGATGTTCCTGAACTGGACTTTTCCTGCCCTGCAGGGGCGAAAGGTCAGCTGGGATTTCAGGCACGTGAGTTTTATAGGTAAGAAGTCAAAGGTCCAAAAGAATAAGAGAGCAGAGATGAAGGCCATTTTCTCCTCTCCTGGAATAAGAACCTCTCTCCGCTCTTCCTTACCCCTCCCACTCAACGGGAGAAAGAAGGGGGTTTTCTTTCTGCTCAGAGGGACTCGAGCAAACTGGTAGTGTAGACTAGGAGTGAATTCAGACACCCGGAGTGCCAGGTCTGGACTTTCACCTGCTCTGCTCTCTCTGGATCTTGATACAGAGCCTGGGTTTTGGTTACTGCAACTGTCCCTATTGCCGCTGTTAGGAAGTCCTTCCTGCTATTATTTCTAGATTTATATGCTGCAAAGAAAGCCTAGAGTGTCGAGGAGGCTAAGTGCCCAGGTTAGTAGCATAAGGAACTTCCTAAGGCTCAGATACTTTCAGGTCATTCCCTCTCTGTTCTTTCCCTACCTAAAGGCTTCTCCTACATCTCCACTGCCCCCAGTAGAAAATCTACGCTGTTTAGACCAACTAACATGGCCTTGACTGGCTGTTGCCAACCCGTTGTATCTGTCACCTACATACAACAGAAGTCATACCAGCTAATTTGAGCAGAGCGAATTTCATGCAGTTACTTTCTGTGCTTACCAAATCTTTGGAGGAGATAGAGCCAGTCACACCTGTAGGAGTGACTCCCAAACAGGGTCCCCTCTAGCACTGTGAGGATCAGGAGCTTCTCAGGGTCTGTTGACTTCAAGAACCATCCTCATAACTGACCCCCAGAACTAAGGAAGCCACTTTGGCAACAACCTCTCAATCTCCCCAAGGCAGACACTGCTATAAACCCCAAGGTCCACTACTGTGCTGACCAGCAACTATGATTTTCAATCCTCAGTTGGTTGAATCCATGAGGGGGGAACCCTCATGAATAAGGGAGGAGGAGTAATGGTAATTACCTCCCCAAATAGAAAATGCCAGGACTAGATGGTTTCACCTAGTGAAGGCACCAAACATTGAAGGATGAAATTGTACCAAATATTTACAGTCTCTTTTCAGAAGATAGAGGGAAAAGGGATCTTTCCTAACTCATTTTCTAAGGCGAGTGTCATCCTAACACCAAAACCAAAGCTATTACAAGAAAGGATGACGATGAAACAATATTTTTCATGAACATCAATGCAAAACTCAACCAAATGTTAGCAAATCAAATCCATCAATCAATAAAAAAAAAGAATTAGATACCATAACCAAGGAGCATTTATCTGAGATGTGAAAGGCTGGTTCAACATTTGAAAACCAATTAACATAACCCTTCACATCAACAGGTTGAAGAAGAAAAATCACATAATCCTACCAATCGATAGAGAAAGAAATTCTATTCCACCCCTTGGAGAGGCTGATCATGACAAAGGCCAGAGAGGGACCGGACAGGGTCTGTCGAGCTGCTGAAACCAGAATCAGTTATCTGGGACCAGGTAAGTTGTAGGAAGCTGGATGTGAACCAAAAGTCAACTTGCCGTCAGGCGTGGTGACACATACCAAAATCCCAGTGACTAGGAAGGCTGAGGCAGGAGGATTGCAAGTTTGAGGCCAACCTCAGCAATTTAGCGAGACCCGAAGCAATTTAGAGAGACCCGAAGCAATTTAGAGAGACTCTGTCTCAAAAAGAATAAAAAATAACAATAAAAAGGGGCTGAGGATGTGACTCAGTGGTAAAGTGCCCCTGGGTTAAATTCCGGTATCAAAAAAGTCAACCTGTAATCCTCAGGCATGGGAGCCTGGGACAAGGAGGCACCTCTAACTACTGGCCCTAAACTGCTACAAGGGTTGTCCTTGGCCTCAGGAGAGGTAGCTGGGAGCTGATGCAATCTTGGCTTGACACTTCATCTTCCTGTCACCTGCCCCTTCCTCCCAAGAAATTCAGAAGTTGCCTCTCCCACCCACCACTGTCCTTAGCTACAGCCTCGAGGCTAAGGTCCCTCAGTTTGCAACTACATCTGCCCCAAGGGATTTGTCTTCATTCAAAGACAAAATTGCTCATCCAGCCCTGGGCCAGCTGTGCTGCATGGACATCAAAGGCACCTTTAAATGCCACCATCAATAGAGAGCACCTTGTATAGCTTCCTTCATTGGCCTCCCCCAGTGCAGGCTCATTATTCCTAAGCAAAACCACAGGGCACCAAGAACAGTAAGGCCAGAAAACAGTGCACAGAGTGTGATGGGGGCACTGAGCAAGCCACCCCTAAGAATAACCTGCTGGGGTCACTATGAGTCTCTGGGATGGAGACACTGCCTGTTTCCTCTCTTCAGACCAACTTGCCCAGATGGGCTCTGCCACCACTGCCCCCCACCCCCATGGCTGGACATCGTCTCATAACATCCTGGGACACCCCCTCCCCAAGCCCAGGAAGGAAGTTGGAAGCTATGAAAAGGGAAGGAGTAACTTCCTGCCCTCATCCCCGAGGCCCAGACCAGATCACGCACAGGATGAATGAATAAGTGGACTACAAGCCCCTTCCAAAGCCCTTCAGGCATCCAAGCTTCCTGCCCTCAAGTTAGAAGCCTGATTTCCAGGCCAGGAGATACCACTGTAAAAGAAAGAAAAAAGAAAAGACAGGATCTGTGCCCAGCTTGCTACTAGCAGGCCCCTCCCCTGGGCCTGCTGCGGTGGGACCCCCAGAAACACAGGATGGGGCTGGAGAAGGGTCTCCTGCCCACTATGGTCCTGCTTTGCCAAGGCCAAATTCTCCCTCTCTGCCGGCTCTGCCAACCCACGGTCTCTCCCCGAGGCAGGCACACTGGATAAGAAGGAGGCCCACCTTGGTCCTGGCAACACACTGTCTAAGCAAGGGCTCCCTCACCACGTGGTGCACCCAGAGCGCCAAGAAGGGAGGCTGGGAGCTCCCCAGACACCCAGCCCCCACCAGGGCCAGCCGCCAACCAGGCTTCCCCTCCCCTGGCCTGCACGGGGGGGGGGGGGGGGGGGGGGGGGGCACCTGAGCTCACTGGTACACAGCAGGGGCGGGGCCTGGTGCTGTCAAGCCACGTGTAGGGGAGGGCCAGGAAGGGCGGGCTGCTCTTAAGGCAGGTCTGCAGGTGAGGTGGAGCCTCCCCTTACTCCTCACCTGGACTTGGAGCGTCTTGGTCCCTGGAGCCAGTAGTGAACACAGCAGCCTGCCCAACCACGGACACCAGGTAGGTGCATGTATTCTCTAAGGAGCTGAGGAAGCTGAGGGACACAGCCCCTTGGCCCTGACTTATTTCACCTATTACCCTCAGCTTCTCTAGCTCTCCTGGGGCTCAGAGGGAAGGTGGAGAGAATTGCAGAGGAGACTGTGGATTAGAGGTGGTCTCAGGATCACAGACCCCAAGGTCAGAACTTTAGGGGAACTAAGTGGGTTTTGAGAGGACCCAGGTCCAGGGAGCGGAATAGGCTGGCCTGAGTTCACAGACGCTTAGGAAGGGACTGGACACAGAACCTGCCTCCCAGTCAGAGCACCGTGCCCTTCTGAGTCAGGCAGGAATGGGGGTCTGGTCCCAGGAGTCCCTGCCTGCCCTTCCAGGTCCTGTCTCACTGGGTCTGGGTGGAAGGAAAGGCATGATCAGGAGGCGCACTTTGAGGATTGGTGGAGAGAGGATTGGGCTATTGGGGTGATGTGCTCTGGGGAAGATTCAGGCTTCACCTTCTCCTCTCACTGACCTGCACTTGTAGGAAAAGAGAGTAAACCAGGGCAAGAGGAGGTCTTTCGGGGTCCCAGGATTCCCCTGGCTCTGGCCTCTGTCAGAACAAAGAAAGAGACTAGAGCCAGCATCTGAAGAGGGAGAAGTTGAGAGAGACCCATAAATAGGGCAGAGCCGATGGGAGCCTTCCCCTCCACTATACACTACACACACACACACACCCACACACACTCACACACACACACACACACACACCAGTCGGAGCCCAGGAACTCTCCCCTCCCACTTAGAGCGGGAAAGACCAGGAAAGAGTGAGCTGGTCAAGTGTGTTGGTGGGGCTGGAAAGGCAGCAGCATCTAGGAACACCAGTGTGAGCCCCGGCCACTGTCTGGGGGGTCTAGAGGTGATTTGGAGAAGAGCTTGAAGAAGAGCTGAGAGACTATGACCTTTGCTCAGTACCAGTCTGACCCTCTCAGTTCCAGAATCCCAGAAGGGGCAGGTAGAAGGGGGCTTCAGCATTAACTGTGGCACACCAGCCCAGGGTGAGCATGTGGGACCAGGGGGCCAAACATGCCCAGATGCAAACCCCAGTTCCACCCTTGGTTGCATGACTTTGAGCAAAACCCTCAGCCTGTACCCTCCTCACAGAACTACTGCGAAAATGAAACAAGTTTTACGTGTCTGTTATTATCATGTCTCCATTATGCAGAGGAGACCAATGAGGCCCTCCGGGAAAGGAAAGGACTTTGGCCCAAGCTGGCACAAAAGCTGTGTCCAAATCAGTAGACTGGCCTCCTGGGCCCTGGTCCTGGGGAGATCCAGTCCCCCGGTGCACTCTGCAAAGTCAATGGCCCCAGCCTTCTTTCTCTCTGGGCCTGGCTGGAGAACTCTGCAGGGTGCGCCTGGGTCCTGTCCCAACAAACCCAGGACACTTGGAGTCCATGTGGAAAAAGCTGCAGCTCCGGCTCTGTGTCCTCGGCTGCCCCCGGGGAAGGAGCGCAGAGGCCGACTCCTTTCCACTGCCATTTATAGACACGCTTCCCGCACCGGGGAGGCGCCACCCCTTCCAGGTCTCGGCCAAGGAGAAGTTTGGCAATAAGCCTACAGGAGCCCCGGGAGGAGGAAGAGGGGAGAGAAAGGCCTGGTTTCTGTCATTAACTGACTGTACAACCTTGGGCAAATTAGGCCGCTGTGGGGACCTCAGGTGATTCTCTGCACTTGAACTCCATATGGCGCAAGGAGTTAAGATGTCAAGTTCCCAAGGCCTGGGTGGGTAGCCCAACTCCACCATCTTTCTGGATGTGGGTCCTATGCGGTTTTCTTAACCTTTCTGGGCCTCAGTATACTCATCTGCTAAATGGGCTGATAATAGACTGTGAGAGGGTTCAGTTCCTACATGCAACTCATATGCAAATGATGTTGATCACTGCCTGGCACTTGGCAAGTTCTCAGTGAATGGGACCCACCATGATGAGGGTGTCATTCTTCATGAGCCCAATTGCTAAATAGAATCGTCGTGATGCTTTCACAAGCAGCACCTCTTTGCTTCCACAGCCCTCTCTGGGAGGAAGCAGAGTTCTCATCCCCCATCTCACAGATGAGGAAACTGAGAGAGTCACACCAGTAGGATTTTTTTGATCTGGGACTATCATTTGTCCCAGGCTGGCCTCAACTGCCTTTTCCCACACTAGTCGGACTCTGAAGCAGAATGTGGAGGAGGCATCATGGAAAAGGGGAGAGTTGGGGGGGGGGGACAGGCATCAAGTCTCAAGGCAGGTGGTGGGAGTGTGACCAGCCTGTCTTAGCTCCAGTTTTCTTAGCAGCCTGTTACCTCCTTCCCATCCCCACCTGTGGAAAACCACAGGAAGAAGCTTCCACAGTAAGGGAAATGAAAACATTGGGATATATTTTTCCTGCATGAGCCTTCAGGGAGCGAATACTGTCTGATGATGTCACTCCCCAGCTCAAAACACTTCTGTGGCTCCCCGCTGGCTGCCCTCGGGGTTGAGTTGGCTATCCAGAGCCAAGCCTGCAAGGCCCTGCAGGGTCTGGCTAGCAGCCCTCCCTCCGTCCATAAAGGTGCTCTCTGTGTTTCCCGGATGCTCAGGGATGTCTCATGGCCCCTGTCTGTCTGCTGCACCTTTGCACACCCCGCCTCCTCACTCCCGCAGGCCTTGCCCAACCAGTTCCTATTTTTCCTCGTTATCTTCCTCTCCACATCCCCTCCTCTAGGAATTCCTCCTGACCTCCCCACCAGCACCCACAGAACCTGCTTCCTCTCCACCCCATCAGCTCCCAGCAGCTGACCTGGGCACCTCTCTATTTCACCCACTGGCCCATGTGCAGGGCCCAAACAGCAGGCATCCTGGGGTCTGGTCCTGCTCTGACACTTGAGGGCAGTGTGACTTTAGGGCAAGTCACTTATCTCTCAGTGTATCAGTTCTTTCATTGTAAAATGGGATGATAATAGTACCTACCTTATAAGGTTGTTATGAGGACTTTAAAGGGCTTTATGTGTAAGTATCAGGGCTCGTGTACATAACAGTTCCTCAATAAACATTAGCTAATTTATTGAATAAATATGCCCCAGATATAGTAGACATTCTATAAGCATTTCCTGAAGTTATCTCACAATCACTTGCAGAATGCTTGGGACGTGCTACACTGGCCCAAACACATCATAAATATTAGCTTATTTTATAAATGAGAAAACTGAGGCACAGAAAAGCTAATTAACTTATCCAAACTTACCCAGCTAGTGAGTGGTAGAGTCAGGGTGCAAATCTGGGTACCCAAACTTTTATGAATGAATGAATGAATATGCCCTTGTTTGGGGCAATGGAGGCAGGAGTTTTCCCAACAGAAGTAACTCAATTCCCATCCTCACCTGTTTCAGGTCCGTTGATCTCAGCAAGTGATAGCTCTGGGATGTAAGTGAGCTGGTTGGGAGCCAGAGGTAGACCGCCCGGTGCGCCAGCCCCACCATGTCCCAGGTGATGTCCAGCCCCCTGCTGATGGGAGGCCATGCAGTCGGCTTGGCTCACTGTGAAGAACCCAGGAGGGCCCTGCACCCAGCGCCCGGCTCCAGCCTGCCGCTCCAGTGTCCTTATTACACCACAGAAGGCTGGGGAGCTCAGGCCCTGATGGCCCCCGTGCCCTGCAAGGCGCCCCCCAGCAGGCTCCAGAAGACCCCACAGGCAGAGGCCAAAGCCCACAGCTTCCAGCAGAGCCCGGGTGAGCAGGCCATGGGGACCCCACAGGACCTTGACTCCTACATTGACTTCTCACTGGAAAGCCTCAACCAGATGATCCTGGAACTGGACCCCACCTTTCAGCTGCTTCCTTCAGGGGCTGGTGGCCCCCAGGCTGAGCCTTCCCAAAGCACCACCTTGAGGAGCAAGAAAGAGGAAACTGAAGCCCTGGGTAAGGACTGGGACACAGTGTCAGCAGGAGGGCTGGGGTCCCTGAGCTCCTGCGGAAGGACTGTCCTATAGAATCAGAGGAACAGGAGACACTCTCCTGTGGGGAGGTGCAGTGCAGCTCTAAATAAGTTATTAACCTCTCTGTTCTTCTCTGCTACACAAAAGGGATAAATACAAGTTTCCCTCACTATCCAGTTCTCTTTGGTTCCTGAGTTTGGAAAGTGATGGAAACGTGTTTTGTATGAATTTTTTTTTGAGATTGTCAGTAAGCTAATACATCTAAGTAGTTTGTGCAATGCCGTGCCTAGGAGTTAAGAGCTTGATAAATGTGGAGTTTCTGAACCATACATTCTGCAGTGTCTCTCTTTAGGTCCTGACTGGGGCCCCCTGAAATTATGATAGGACTCTAAATTATTTCATCACAAGTTTACATAATGTAATCTTTAATAATGGCGGAGTTTAGCAACCAGCTAGCTGGATGAAATCTTGCAAATTTAACAATCAGCACTTAACAAGCTGGTACAAGCCAACCCCCGTTCGCCACTGAGTCCAAGGGAATCTGGAAAGCCCTACATCTGGATTCAGTTTCCCACACAAAGAGCTTCATGTGTGCTCTGAGGATAAGGGTCAAAGTGCAGCAGCCCCATTGTTCAGACAGGAAGACCGAGGCTTCCTGGGAGTTTAAACCATCAGCGGGAGCAAGGGCACAGTTAGAATTACAGAGAGAGTCTATCCTAACTTCCATTTATTAAGTACGTATTATTTACCAGACTCTGTGCTGAGGTCTCTATATAGAATCCTCCATCCTCCCAGCTCATGCCCATGAGATGAGCACTTTATGCCCATTTTACAGAAGGGAGAAAAACAGGTTGAGGGGGTTGAGAAAGGAGCCTAATCAAGGAGTTGGGCAGACCTTATCCAAGCTGTTTACTTCACTTCTTTGTGTCGTCCAGCCTCATCTATAAAATGGAGATAATAACTCCATCTGAAAAACGGAGCGTTGCAGGGATTAAAAGAAGTAGCATTTGTTGGCTGGCTGTCACAAACCCTGGCACGCCATGAGTCATTTCAAATGGTGGCTGTTTTATTAAATGCTGGGATTGCATGGAGGCCCAGCCCCAGGGTAGGATTGGGCTCTGGGGTGGAGGTCAGCCCAGCACCTCTGCCCTAGGCCGCCCCTGGCTTCCAGCCTGCTCCCCTCCTCCCACCCGCATTGCCTGCCAGGCCTATTAAAGGAGCTGCCTCCTCCCTCAAGAGCCTTCCTGCAGCCTAAGACCAGTTGTGGGCACGTCACTGCAGGGAAGCGTCTTGGGCCTAATCACGACTGGCAGGAGCAAGCCCAGGGTTTTAATGTTCATGCCCCAAGGCAGGGGTTCCACACATCCAAGGCCAGCCAGGGCAAGACCAGTCTCTGACCGGCATCCACATGCATAGGGTGGGGGTTGATAACATCTAGGCCCTTCCCCCACTGGAGGGGGCTGATGGGCAGTGGTCCATGTCCTTGGATGCCCAGTGTTATGAACATAATCCACCTAACTCTGGGGATCAGGGAGCTGGCAGTGGTCAGAGGGTCCCCCCAAAGCTGCCTAGGTCTGCTCTAGCTCCTTCTAGTTTTCGGCAGACACAACATCTTTGTTTGTATGTGGTGCTGAGGATCGAACCCGGGCCGCACGCATGCCTTGTGAGCGTGCGCTACCGCTTGAGCCACATCCCCACCCTTCTAGCTCCTTCTAATAGAGAGGGAAAATATCCTCTCCTCTAACCCCTGCTTAGACACTCCTCATGCCTGAGTGCTCACTACCTCCTAAGAGAGCCCAGCCAGGTTACCTTCCCAATATGAAGTTCTCTACCATCACTAAGAATGTCAGGCACCTGTCCATCGCGGGGTCTGCTACCTTCCCATGCATCTCAGGTCTCCCCAAGCCCACCTGCAGACCACCAGCACTGGTGACAAAGCTCTCACAGGCCCAGGGCAGTGGAACTAATTCTGGGAATTGTGGTGAGTTACACATTCAATATGGAGGGCTCCCCTGCACGCACACTGCTGTGTAATCTCATCCTCTCTCTTTTGGGGGTGCTGAAGGTGAGGATCCTGATATTATGTTCATTGGAGGGTGTTCACTGTTCCTCCCTGTCCCACCTTGGCAAAGTTCAGACCATTGGTGATCCTATACTGACATGTCCCCTGGAGAGGAAAAGAGAGAGAGAGAGAGAGAGAGAGAGAGAGAGAGAAAAGTTTTTTTAAAAAACTTAGACTGTGTAATGCATGCTCCCATAAAGGAAATAGTGGTAACCTCATTTTACCGACAAGGAAATTGAGACTCAAGGAGGGAAGCGATGGCCCCTGGCCAGGAGGAGGTTAGGTCAGACCTCAAACCCCACGTTGCTGGGCTCCAAAGTCCACATTCCTGCCAGGCATGGCACATATATCTGTAACCCCGGCGACTTGGGAGGCTGAGGCAGGAGGATCACAAGTTCAAGGTGAGCCTCAGCAACTTAGCAAGACCCTGTCTCAAAATTTACAAAAAATAATAAAGTGGACTGAGAATGTGGCTCATGCCCCTGGGTTCAATTCCCAGCATCCCCCTAAACAAAAACAAAGTTCATGTTCCCATCATTTTCTATTTCTTGGGGCTAATTTTCTGCCAGCTGGGGCATCACAAAATATCTATTTGGAGGCAGCCTGAGGGCCCCGCTTCTGAGACTCAGCCCTTCCCAGCACTTGGCCAACCTTGCCCTGAGTCCCCTGCCTCTCTGCCTCCTGCTCACCTTCTCTTAGGCCTGCCCTGCAGGGTCCCCATCCCACAGGGAGCGTGGCTCCTAGAATCCGACACCAATTCCCTTCTTTCTCCTCTCCCATGACCTCCCACCCCATCTTGGGAACAGGCCCCCACATTTCATTTTCCAGCAATTTCTGCCAGGCGAGGCAGCTTGCCAGTCCTGAGGGAAGGGTATTTAATAACCGTCTCTCCACCCCCCCCACCCACGTGCCCTCCCTCGGCCTGCCCGGCCTGCTGCTGGCGCCCGCATCCACCCTGCACTGCTCAGACTTGCCCCACAGGCCTGTAAACAGCGACTGCGCCCCAGTGTTGGGGTGGGGGCCCCTACCTCTCCAGCCACATCCACCTCAGCACAGCAGCGGGTGCCAGAGCTCTTCCTTCCCTTCCCACCCTGCGCTGCCTGCTCAGCCCCCCACCCCCCAGGGGTCTTTGTGTGATCCAGGAAGCAGGGGACCAGGAAATTTACCAGGCCCAGAAGCCCTCCCCAAAGCCAAGTGGTCCCTTGAAATGAGGCCTCAAGGAGCCCACTCCTCTTCCTGGCATAGGCATAAAAAGAACTCAGGAGCAGGAGTTGGGTTCCTCTACTCACTAGCTGTGTGGCATTGGACAGCTCGCTTAACCTCCCTGAGCCTTGATTTCTCATCTGTAATATTGCCTACTTTTATTAGGTTGTTGTGAGAGTTCAATGAGACAATACAGTTAACTTATTTGCAGCAGTGCTGGTACATAGCACTCAAATGCCAGTCTTTATTTAAAAAAAAAATTTTTTTTGTACAATAAATGCTAGCTACAGTTCCATTTATCTCCAAGCCTCAGTTACCTTCTCTAACAACAATACCTGTCCTGCCTAAGGACTGTTATGAGGTCCAAAGGTAGTTATGGATATAAACACTATAAAATCCTATAAAAATAGAAGTTGCACTTGCCAGTCTTCCAGAAGAATCCACCCCAGTCTAGATCTCTTCTCTTTCAGAGCCTATAATATAGTGCCCCAAATGCTCCCCCTGTGCCCTCATCTTCCTAAGGAGAAGGACATCTGCTGTTCCCGGCCTCAAGGGCCGCCCTGGGCCAGGCTCCAGCTCCGTTCTGCATGTAAACTCCCCGGAGGGGAGCAATCTGCAGAAAAGGAAACTGAGGCCCAGTGAAGTTATGAAACCTAACCCAGTGCCTCTTGGCTGCCAAGTGACAAAGCCAAGACTCACACCCAAGTTCATGTGACTGCAAAGCCGTTACTGCACAGGCTGGGACAGCAAGCCCAGGTCAGCCCTCCAGTCCCGCTCACCTGACGCAATACCCACCCCCTCCACCCTACTCCAACAGGCTCAGGCAGAGGCTCCACCGTGAGCAAGGCCAGGAGGCCCTACCCAGGAGCAGGCTGGGGCAGGCTGGGACTCCACAGGCTTGGGGTGGGAGGGATGTGACTGTGCCAGGCCCAGGGGAGGTGGGAGGCCCGCAGACAGGAGCCAAGGGTGCGGATTCTCCCTGACTCTGACTCATAGCCCTCCAGAAGGGGGCAGCTGGAGACCCCTACCTTCCACCACCTTTGCTGGTACAGCACCAGGACAGCTGTCCTGCCCCAGGTTGGGAGGAAGAGTGTCCATCCTCCCCACAGGAAAACCACAGGGCACCTCACTCCATCTCTGGAGGAGGAACAGGGTGTCGGAAACCCAAGAGTCCTGGATGCCCGCATTGGGGCCCAGGAGTAAATCAGCAGCTCCCCCCACCCCCACCCACCCCTGTGCTCACGGGAACCAGCTATGAGTGTGGGGACAGCCTCAGGCAGTGGGAGGCCTGTGACACAGCCAGCCCTGCTCTTAAGGAGTTCTCAAACTCTACTCTGCACTCAGGTGCCCAGAGGGTCTCATAGAAGGGCAAATTCTGATTCCATGGGTCTAGGGTAGAGCCTGAGGTTCTGCCAATGGCCAGCTCCCAAGGGACGTGGTGCTAAGGCTCCAGCATCAGAATCACCTGGGAAACTAAGAAAGCAAAAGCATAAACCAACCCGAGGTCCGGGGGACCCTTCAGATCCTGATCTAGTTAGCATGGGGCAGTGGGACTTTTATAAGCTCCTGCATGATTCTAGGGTGTGACCGGGCTTGAGAACTCTAGCCTTCATTTGTGGGTACAGAGAAACAGCCCTTACGCATCCTGATTGAGGAAGGCATTGGAAGCCTCTCCATCAGAAAGATGGAGACGATCCCTCAGATTTTAAATACCTACTAAGTGCCAGATCCATTTCATCCTTCCTGTGTCACCGAGAGGCTGGGCAAGGCTATAAGTGGTAAAGTCACTTGACTGAGCTCTCCGGTCTCAAGTGGCAGAGTCCATACCTCAAACCTAGGTCTATCTGATTCCAAGGCCACTGCCTCTCCTCACCCAAGGAACAACATCGCAGAAAGGGTGACTTTGGAACTGAGCCCTGAAGGTGGAGTTGGGTGTTAATTCCGATTCTGGGCCTGTTTCCTCATCTGTGTAAAAAGAGGAGGGACCCGAGGGTCTTCAGGCTCCTTCCAGCGTTTCCATCCTGAGCGTCCAGGCTCCTGGGTTTCACCGTTGTTCTGCTTTTTCTCCCTAAAGATATAAAGTACATCGAAGTGACCTCCACCCGATCGCGGTGCCACGATGGCTGTCAGCGCTGCTCCAGCCCATCTGTCACGCCACCTTTCGGCTCTCCACGCAGTGGTGGCCCCCTCCTTTCCAGAGATATCCCCCGAGAGACTCGAAGCAGCAGCGAGAGTCTCATCTTCTCTGGGAACCAAGGCCGGAGTGCCTCCCCTCACCCCTCCACCTCGCCCAGCGTCTCCATCCCTTGCGTGGGGAGCAGAGCTTCAGGCCCTCATGGCCTGGGCTCCCCACTGAGGGCCCTGGCTTCACAGCGGGGCAGCAGGGTCTCTGTGCTGTCAGCCAGTCCAGCGTCTGATGTCAGCTATGTGTTCGGGAGGTAGGTTCCCTGGTTTCCAACCTTGCTCCCCAGCACGCACACGCACGCACACGCTTCCACACAGATCCTAAAATCACCGCGGGCACCCTGCTCTATCTGAGCAAAATCTGAGCATTCACTAAGACTAAAAGGATGATTATTGTCTTTTCTGCCATCACAGCCATTGGGATTTCGTGTTTTCCTCAAGCATTTACAATCTAATTCAAAAACTGTGTTCCCATCTGTCTGCCTTTTGAGAATGGAGCCGCTGCGTTGATAAGGCTCACCTGTCTCCTCTCCAGCCCTGGCACAACCCATCTCCAGAAAGGGCTTTTTAAAACTCCAAACCACAGGGATGTATGTAGACATTGGAGGCCTGAAATAAACGTTCGGGAATGAAAGCCATTGTGCTGATATACCCTTTGTTGCTGGCAAAACCTGGTAGAAGGAGGCCCACATACCTGGGCATTATTTGCAACAGTCCCAGCTCACTTTTCCCCAGGCCTTGCAGTACAACTGCAAACACACCCCATCCTGCAGGGTTTCTGCAGCCATGCCCACCAGCTGGATGCTGAGCTGGCTTCCTCCAACTGGGATGTTGCTCCTGGATCAGCATGGATGTGCCCAATCCATATTCACCCTGACTGCAAGGCTCCTGGGAGTGATGCACAGGGGACAGACCAGTGTGACTGTTCAGGCAGACCTGCCTGGCTGGAAAGGCAGAGGGAATTCAAGCCAGCCTAAGCCATGCAGCCTGCAGGGGGTCAGCCTATGGGCTACTTAAAACGACCACAGACCCTATGGCTAGATTTCTTTGACCTTCAGCATAGGATCTGTGTGGAAGGGATAATGTGGTCATGCCCTTTGCTCTTTGATCTGGGTTTGGGGTAGCAGGATATGATCTGTTTGGCCAAAACCATGGCTCCCAGATCACTAGATTTCAGAACTTGGCTCTGGCCCTCAGTGTCCACCCTGACTCCCTAACACTTTGTTCCTGGTCTCTCCCCTGCAGCAGCCAGTCCCTCCTCCAGTCTAGCATCTCCAGCCCTCAATCATCTTCTAGATCCTTGGAAAGTCCAGCCAGCTCTTCCTCCAGCCTCCACAGCCTTGGTCCAGCGTCCCTCTTTATGAGACCCAGTGATGTCCAGGCCCCCAGCAACCCTGCTCTGAACATGGGCCAGCCCAGAGCCAACCACTCTCCTCCACTGGCCAAGGAGCATGCCAGCAGCTGCCCCCCATCTGTCACCAATTCCATGGTGGACATACCCATTGTGCTGATCAATGGCTGCCCACAAGCACAGTCTCCCCCACCCCAGTGGACACCAGGACAGCAAGGGTTTGTCCAGCCTGGAACTGCTTCTTCCAGCCATCCCCGTCAAGCCACCAAGAGCCACAGCCAGACCCTGCCAGATGCCTCCTTCACCACGTCCCCAGAGGGTAAGTTATAAACCTCGAGTGCTAAAAGGTTTGGTTAAGGGTAAGAGACAAAGCATCAGTGGATTTCTATAATAGCCAGTCAACATATTTATTGAGTACCTACTATGTGCCTGACCTTGGGCCAGGTTGTGAAGACACAGTCTAGAAAGGAGACCAAAAGCAAGAATCACTACAGAGTCAGATAAGCACAAGTAAAGACGCTCGAGCTTATGGGGCAACAGAGGAAGGAGTGATGCTTACAGTCTGGAGAACAGAGGAAGTGACTCTGAGCTGGATGGGGAAAGCAGATCAGAGGTGTGTGCCCAGGGAAGGAGAGAAAGGGCATTCCCCGCAGAGAGAACAGGGACTCCACAGTCACCACGCACAGAACACATTTAGAAGATGCTTAGAATGTTGGGTGCAGGTCATTGGGAGTAATCTGGAGGCAGATTGTGAAAAACCTTGAATGTCAATTTAAAAAGTGGATTTTACACTTTAGGCAACAGGGGACCATCAGAGAGTCCCAGACAGGGGGGAGGCCGGCCTGGTGGCTCACGCTGGCAGCTGTATGAAAGATGGATTGCCATGGCAAGATCTAGGGTGGGGCAGTGGGGGTGGAGGAGAGAGAACAGAGCCAGGCAACCCTGGGGATGTGGAAGGAGCAAGCCTGCTGACTAACCCAGGGAGAGCCAGAGGGCGCGTCGGAGCTCACTCTGACGTTCATGGATGACGAGAACACAGAGGGGGCGCACAGGGAATGGAGACAACGCATACCGATCCAGACAGCTGAAAACCACAAAACAGCAAACACCCTCCTTCCCGGAGTCTGTGACTGCAGGCGTCCAAGAAGAGCACAATCAACAAGAACCCACAGCAGTAAACACAAAGGCTGAGCCGCAGCACCCCACGGGTGCACGCCTCCCATGAGCAGAGCCCCAGGAACGCTGCCGTCCCAGCTCCCCCTTCCTCAGTTATCTCTGTCCCAGGAATTCCAGAGGTGGAGCAGAGGGGTGAGGTGCTCACTAGCCTACTGCTCACTCTCACACAATGCAAGTGGGGGAAAATGGTACGTTAGGCCTGACTTTGAATCCGTCTGATCACTTTCCTGGGCAAATCATGTAGTGATTGTAGTGCATTTTGTATAATGAGTTACTCTCAACTGACCACCCCACACCTTTGTAAGATGCTGAAATTAAGGGCTGGAGTTGTGGCTGAGTGGTAGAGTGCTTACCTAGCATGTGTGAGGCACTGGGTTCGATTCTTAGCACCGCATATAAATAAATAAAATAAAGGTCCATTGACAACTAAAAAATATCTTTTAAAAAATGCCGAAACTAAGAACCATTGCTGTCTGCCTTAGGAAGCCAGGAACATGGTCATTTTGTCATTTCAAAGAGCACTTTTGCATAGACAGGTGATAGTTCCATCCTGCAATGGTGATGCCCCGGATATCACTAATGATACTCCAGGATCTTATCAAATTCTGCAAAACATTCTCAAAACAAAATTCATTCTAATTTCCTATGTTCTTAGAAGATTAAAGACAGTCAGAAACTGGGCACGATGGTGCACCATATAATCCCAGCAACTCAGAAGGCTGAGGTAGGAGGATCAAGAGTTCAAAGCTAGCCTCAGCAACTTAGCGAGGCACTAAAGCAACTTAGTGAGACCCTGTCTCTAAATAAAATACAAAATAGGACTGGGGATGTGGCTCAGTGGTCACATGCCCCAGAGTTCAATCACTAGGTACCAAAATAAATAGATAGATAAAAAAATAAAAAGGGCTGGGAATGTTGCTCAGTGGTTAAGCACCCCTGGGTTCAATCCCCAGTAACAAAAAACTAACTAACCAACAAACAAAAAAAGATCATCAAAGGTTGTAGAACCTACTCTGTCCCCTCTGGGCTTCAAGAGCTGAACCACTGTCCCAAGTCAGTCAAATACTCAGGCTCCCAACCTCTGAGCACAGATCTGCTGATTTCTTGCTCTACATCTTTCCTTTAATTTTCTTTCCTAAGCCAAATATACTTCTAAGGAACTCAGAATTGCTAAGGACAATGTGAAACCAAACATGCGTCTGAGAATTCTTTATCTATCCCTATTTCAGTCCCCACCAGGCAACGTCAGGTTTGTTATCTATTTGTTTTTGATTCATTACCAAGGATACAGGGGACTTCTCCGTCCCAGATGACCCAAGCCCTGGAACCCTTCTGTTTGGTTTTGCTTCTTTAGGCAGTTTGGAGATAACTGGGGATGGGGGCAGGGAGAGTGGGTCAAATGGGACCTCTGGGCGGAGGAGCAGGAGAGGGTCTCCAACCTTCTCTGATGATCATCCCTCAGCAACCCTCCATCTCACCTACAGAATTCCTCCCTCTGTGTTTCCAGGTCCTTCCAGGGACATGCAGCCCACCATGAAGTTCGTGATGGACACATCTAAATACTGGTTTAAACCAAGCATCACCCGAGAGCAAGGTAAAAGGAAGCTGTGTGTTTCAGGGGACAAGTGACCCTAGGAATCAGGTCTGGGTCCACACATTAGGCAGATGGGGGCCTGAGTCATTGTAAAAAAGGGAATAGCAAAGAGTAGGCCCAGATAGGAGAGAGTCCTACTGACTCAAGAGGACCTGCTGACCTCAAGAGGAAATAGGACCTACAGTAAAAATGGTAGACATTAGACAATACAGAGGACGTCCTGGGAGCTAAGGTAACTCTGTAAGGACTGCTCTAGGAAGACCCTAGGGGGCTGGGGCCAGAGAGTGTTCCTGTGGAGTGGTGTCTGCCTCTGACCCCAGCATTCTTCCAGCAATCGAGCTGCTGAGGAAGGAGGAGCCAGGGGCTTTTGTCATCAGGGACAGTTCCTCATACCGAGGCTCCTTCGGCCTCGCCTTGAAGGTGCAAGAGGCTCCGACATCTGCCCACAACCGACCAGGTACGCACCTGTCCCTGTGCTCACTCAAGGCCTCACTGAGGCCATGAGGGGTGGTGGGTTCCATCCCAGCCTGATGCTAGATTTCAGGGTGACCTTGGGCCAGTCCCATAGCAAGTCTGGGTAGGAGCAGCTGCCTCCAGCCCTGAGCCACCACAGGAAAAAAAAAAATCTTTCACTGCCAGCTTGAGTTGCCTCTGTCCTCCTGAGTACCCCCAAATTTCCTGCTCTCCCTTTGTAATAGGAAGAGGAAGAGGAAGACCTCAGCCCTTCCCTAGGTTGCTCTCATGGGTAGCTACCCCTGTCTCATCAACCTAATGTAATAATATGTGTGAATGGCTTATCACATTTGTGCAACAGCTCATTACATGCATGTGATAGCCTATCTCATGTGTTAATGGCTTATCACACATGTGATAGCTTATCACGTACTTTCTCATGATTTCACATGCTCGTCCGATAACTCAGCACACATCTATGAGGTCTCTGCAATGTGTGAGCAACAGGGATACAGAGGAGTTTCACGCAGAGGCCACTGCGTTAGGGAAAGAGAGGGAAACACATAATTATAGTACAAGGTACCTGGGTCACAGTCCCTCCCCCAAGCTTCAGGCTGTACCTCTCATTTAACAGATGAGATAACTGAAGCTCAGAGGTAATGACCCCAGAGCAATTAAGTGTCAGTGGGAGAATGAAAACTCCAACCTTATATTCTATTTTTTTTGGACTGGGGATTGAACTCAGGACCGTGTGCATGCTAGGCAAGCACTCTGCCACTCTACCGTCCCCAGCCCTTTTTATTTTTAATTTGAGACACATTGACACTAAGTTGCCAAGGCTGGCCTTGAACTTGCAATCCTCCTGCCTGAGCCTCCCAAGCAGCTGGGATTACAGGCATGCTCCACCAGTACCTGGCCCAACCTTGCGTTCTTTACGTTGTATCTCACTGTTGGAATAAGAAAACTGGGACGAGTATTGGTTACCAAGGAAGCCTGACAAGAAGGAAGGAACCCAAATCGAGGAGGGAGTCTATGGGCTGGAGGAGAAGAGTCCAAAGGGCACTCTGTACCCTCCCAGGGCCAACCTGGCTCTGGCAGGGATGATCTGGTAGAAAATAATAGCAGCAGGGCTGGGGTGTGGAGAAAGAGACAGAAACCAGACGGAAGAGCGGATATTTAGTCTAAACAGTAATTGGGACCATCCCTGATAACTCTTAACCAAGAGAGAGTTTTCCTGAAGGGGAATGACTGGACACAGAAGCCTTTGAGCAAATGTGTTGGCACCACTTTGGGGGAGTCCTTGATCGTAGGATCTCCACTGCTGTTCTGTCCAAGGCAGGGGACAGCAAGATAACCTTTGGATGGACCTGGAGGAGGTGGGTCAGGGAAGGAGTTGGACTGGGTTTGGCTACCACAGGGCTCTGGAACTCCTTCTTCTTCCTTTGTCCAGGTGAGGACAGCAATGATCTGATCCGTCACTTCCTCATCGAGTCTTCTGCCAAAGGGGTTCATCTCAAAGGAGCAGATGAGGAGCCCTACTTTGGTGAGCTGCCCCAACCTCCAGGCCCCTGGGGTGGGGGTCCCACTCTTCTGAGCTACTATGGCGGGCAGGCAGTGGGCCAGGAGAGCCTTCTTCATGCAGGGCCACCTGTTTTCCTGCAGGGAGCCTCTCTGCCTTCGTGTGCCAGCATTCCATCATGGCCCTGGCCCTGCCCTGCAAACTCGCCATCCCACAGAAAGGTAGGTCTGAGCCCCAAGGAGGCAATGTCAGATGCCAAACCTGTTCATTCCTACTAGTAAGGCTATCAATGGTCACATTCTACCCTGTTTGTGGATTCCTTTAGAGTCATGAACAAAAGTCCAGCTCTACTTCCTTAGCTGTATGAATTTGAGAATGTGCACCTCTGAGCCTCAGTTTCCTCTTCTATAAAATAGGAACAATCATCATCATACCTCCCTAAAACATTGGGATGTAGGTTGAAGGAGAGAGCGCCCACCAGGCCCTTAGCACAATGCCTGACACGGAACAGATGAATTAAAAACAGAGGTGGTTCCCCGCCATCCCACTGGGATTGGTTGAGCACGCGCTCATTCACTGCCCACCATGACCTTATGAAGTAGACAGTACTGCTATGTCCCATTTCACACCGGCCCAAAGGCCCACGAAGTCACACCCAAGGACTATCAGCAAGCCCTATCCAAAATGCACAGCCCAGACAGAGCCTGTCACCTCAGGACGGTCAGGGGAAGTTAGGTGTAAAAGCACCTCTACTTTCTACAAAGAAGAGCCTGGGTTTGGGATGGGTTCTGAAAGAAGTGAGGTCTAGAGCCCATGGGGGCCGGAGGAGAGTGGAGGGGTGGAGAGGGAGGTGGAGGAGGGGGGCGCTGTGGGGGCAGGGAGCAGGGGGAGAAGGGATCAAAAGACTTCCAGGCAATGCATTTGGGAGCCTAAAGTGGCCCTGGTTGCCTAATTACCCTAATCACACCTGGTTTCTCTGGCAGTCACTTCCTGGGGGTGGGGGTGGGGTGGGGGGTAGAGGTAGGAGATGTTCAAAGGGATTCATGGGGCCTGTTCCTCTGAAGGGGGTCCACTCATTCCATCCCTGTCCCCTTGGGGGCCTGTTCCTTTACCTTGGCTCAGAACTGGGAGGCGCAGATGGGGTGGCCTCGGACTCCTCTACAGACAGCCCGGCCTCCTGCCTGAAGAAATCTGCGGGTGAGTGGTGTGGGGGCGGCGCCAGGCCTGGCTGTGCCCCCAGAGGGCCCCTCCCAGCCCTACACACAGGCCCACACATGTTTCCCATCATGGCTTTGTTTCTGCAGTTTAACAAGGTGTCACAGCCCCCTGGCCCCCCTTTAAACCAGAAGTTGAGAGGCTGCAGGCACTGACCCCAAGGAAGGGGGTGGGGTGCTAGCAGGGCTTATACCCCATCCTGTGCCAACATGGACATACATGTACGTATGGGTCTAATATACCTGCCCTGGAGGAGGTGTCTAGATGGGGATCCTCTGAAGGGTATCCTGAGGGCGTCAATACAGGAAAGAACCCTGCCCCCACTCCCACCCCCACCCACCACCCCACCACCACCATCCCCCATCCAAGGGCCAGATAAAGATCAGCCCTGTCTCCCTGACAGCTCCTACTCTGTGCCCCCAGACACAATGTCTCCCCTCCACATACTTAATGTCTCTCCCTGCTCTCACCAAAGGAGGAGGTGGGATGGGGTTTGGCGGGATAGGTCCAGACAGAAGGCAGTTCTCCTGAGTGACCCTAGACACAAGGCAACATCCCCTCCCTTCCCTCACCCACCCCAAAGGGCCAAGGGCCAGAGCAACACAAAGCAAGAGATGTCCAAAAGTCCTCTGAGATTGGCCTCAACTCTCTGTCACACTCTCCCTACCTATCTGGTGGCCAGTTCTAAGGGGAACCTCATGAGAATTCTGAAGAAGAAATCCCCCTCCCCTGGCTCTGGGCAGAGGGAAGATCTGGGCCTGGTGACTCCCCCATCCACTCCAAGGACCCTGGCTGCATCCCACAGGCTGCCACACTTTGTACCTGAGCTCCGTGAGCGTGGAGACCCTGACGGGAGCCTTAGCCGTGCAGAAGGCCATCTCAACTATCTTGGAGAGAGAGGTCCTCCCCACACCCACTGTGGTCCACTTCAAAGTCACTGAGCAGGGCATCACCCTGACTGACATCCAGAGGAAGTAAGGGCCTTCCCCCTCGTCCTGGGGCTACAGGGATGGGCAGCGTAGGTCTGGAGGGATGGTGAGACTGATGCTGAGCATCAGTGAGAAAGGCAGAGTTCAGGGTCCTGGACCAGATGGGACTGGTGACATGCTGGGTGACTCCAGGCAAGTTCCCTGTCTTCTCCAGGCCTGTCTCCAATGACCCCCTGCCAAGCCTCCCTCATGGTGACTGATTTTGGAGTCACTGGGTGCTGATTAAGTGTGCACCCAATGAGGGGACATCGTTCATGGGCCAGATGCTGGCTGACTGCTGGGACACAGATTGGAATGAGATCACTGCTTCCTGGGGCTCAGGGACTCAGTCGATCAGGAGCCCGATTCTGGGCTGGGCACTTATCTGGGAGATGCAAGAGAGAACCAGGATGTAGCTCCATCCTTAAAAAGTTAATGACATGGGGCGGGGGGCAGAGGACCATAACGTGAGGACACAGGCAGAAGCCCTGGGTGGGAGTAGAGAGGCACAAGCACAATGGAGAGGCCACAGCAGTCAGAAGGATCTCACTGGGAGACTTCTTGGAGGATAGGACATCTGAGCTTTGGGGGACCCAGAGATGCTGGAGGCAGAACGTGGGCCCAGCATAGGCCCTCACCGGCTTCCTTTCTCTCCTGGCCTCCACCAGGGTGTTTTTCCGGCGCCATTACCCACTCATCACCCTCCGTTTCTGCAGCATGGACCCAGAGCAACGGAAGTAAGTTCAAAACGGGGTCAAAATAAGAAGACCAGCCAGCCAGGCACAGTGGTGCATGCCTGTAAGCCCAGCAGCTCGGGAGGCTGAGACAGGAGGATTGCAGCCTAAGGCCAGCCTAAGAAATTTAGCAAGGCCCTAAACAACTTAATGAGAACCTGTCTCAAAATAAAAATAAAAAGGGCTGGGGATGTAGCTCAGTGGTAGAGTGCCCTGTGGGTTCAATCCTCAGTACCAAAAAAAAAAAAAAAAAAAAAAGGCCATCCAGAGCATGGCTGCACACCAAGTTTCTTTCTTTCTTTTTAAAGAGAGAGAGAGAGAGAATTTTTTTTAATATTTATTTTTTAGTTCTCGGCGGACACAACATCTTTGTTGGTATGTGGTGCTGAGGATCGAACCCGGGCCGCACGCATGCCAGGCGAGCGCGCTACCACTTGAGCCACATCCCCAGCCACCCCCCCCCACCAAGTTTCTTAATGACTCTGGGACTGGGATGGCAGAAGGAGCCATGAACTCCAAGAGATCAGGGGTGACAGAATGAGGGCAGGTGGGGCATGGTTGGGTGGGGACTTGACTGTCTAGGTTCTGTTACTGCTCATCCAGGGTCCTGCAGAATAAAGCAAAACCTCCCTCCTCAGTGTCTCATGTTCCTTTCCTACAGGTGGCAGAAGTACTGCAAGTCCTCCAGGTAAGACTTCCCTGACCCCCTCAGCCACCCTAAGAGATGTCCCTGTGGCAGGGCCCCAGACAGACCCAACAGAGCAAAGGATCTCTGAAAGGAGGGAGGCCTCCTCTTGACCCTAAAAGCTCATGGTGTCAAGGAGGGGACAGGCCCTGTCGTCAGGGAACCTTGGCTACAGGGATGCCCCAAGCTGATGGTCAAGATACATGTTTGACTTCAGGGAGCTTCTACTCTTAACAAGGAAATACAGAGGTCCTGTCCTTAAAATGGAGGAAACCCAGAGAGAAGGCATTTCCCTAAGAGAGCTCCATTATAATGAGGTGCTGGAGCAAATTGCCTGGGGGAGGTGTGGGGAGGAATGAGGTATAGACCTACTATCCCACCCCAGTGCCATCAGCCTGATGCCCCCTGCATCCCACCACCAACTCAGACTGCACTCTCCCATCAGGATCTTTGGATTTGTGGCCAAGAGCCAGACGGAACCACAGGAGAACGTGTGCCACCTCTTTGCAGAGTACGACACCGTCCAGCCAGCCTCACAGGTCATCGACCTGGTGACTGCTCTGCTGCAGGACACAGAAAGGATGTAGGAGGAGGGAGCTGCCTGTGTACCTTCCCAGACATCCTGAGGGGCTTGTCCAAGAGCCATCTCCGCCCCTGAACAGTGGGGTGTGGCTACACTAATAGAACAGTCTATTGGACTGGAGAACAGTTATCCAGCTAGAACCCTGAACCTGCTCTGACCTTCAGCAGTAACCCCCCGAGCCTGTTTCCTCAACTGAAAAAGGAGTCTGGTACACAAGACCAGCTGCTCTTCTGAGACATTAGTGGGCATCTTCAGCATGCTCCTCCATGACTCTGAGGCACACCCACGTCTGACAATCACTACTGAAAATCACCTCCAAGAACCTTCTGATTCTATCAGCTAGAAGAGAATCAGAATAATAGTCAGAGCTAGAGATCTGTGGCCCCTGTCTCATGGCAAACAGCAGGTTCTGAGTCGTGACCCATGGGGATCCCAGTCTGAGGCTGGTGACGGTTTATGAGGATTGAGGACAGACTGTCTTCTTTCCCTCCCTTTCCTGATGGCCTGTTGGATCCGCCTGCCCAGGGGTCAGCAAGTTGACCAGGCTGTGGTGGTTGTGGCAGCTCTGGTATAGAGGAGTGGGGCTTTCCCTTATGATCAGAGGAGATGCAGTTGTTCATTCTGTCTAATCTCCTCTTCCCATTGCAAATGAGCATTAACCCCACTTGGTAATCAAATGGCCCAAAGCTCAGCTTCCCTAGTGTTGCTTATACAACCTACATCTGGCAGATGTGGGTAGAGAAACCCCTTTCTAGAGCAAATGTAAGAGCAGCTCTCTGTGGTTCTGCCTCAGCTCCAGTCTTGCTGAGTCCTCCCTACACACACACACACACACACACACACACACTCACACACACACACACTACAGCTGTGTGGCATCAACTGGCCTCATAGCCACAAGGGGGCAGCAGAGAGTCAAGAATGCAAAGAGGCGGCTTCCTCGAAGCTAGAAGAAGCTGGGCCCTTTCCTGCTCATCTTTGCCCAGAACTAAACCAACCCAGAAGCTGGAGCCTTTTCTTTTACAGACCCAGGTTCCTAAGGAAACCACACCACGGCTGGAAAGGAAGGCTCAGGGAAGAAGCCCGCTCTGGCTCTGCAGAGCAAGCACCTACCACCTCTCGAACCAGCTCTGCCAGAGCATCATTATCTTTGGCCAAGATTGGGCCTGACAGGTTATGATTTCAACCCAGGAAACCAGACCAGACAGGAGCAGCCCTGGGCTGCGGGACAGGCTGAGCCCAGCCCACCCAGGCGGTGGTCAGTTGCTGCGCCACCCTTGGAATCTGCCAAGGTCCTCAAGGTCACAGTGCTCAGTCCTATGGCAGGGGGAAGAGGGTTGCTGGCTGTAAGCTCATGGGTGCCCGTATGGCTCCCATCATAAAAATAAAGTGTCTGTCTTTGCATAACAGTTGGTCCAGAGGCACTCAGGGCTGTCCCCTCAGAGATGGAATCTTAAACAGAGAAGGGGACTCAGCTTATCAGAGAAAATCAGATGTGCCTCCCTCCCCTGGCCACAAAAATACAGGCTTCCACTGATTCCCACGTCACAAACCATCGTTTAAACCACTCTGTCCCCCACATGCCCAGCACACCCCTTTCCTTCTTCATGCAGAAAGCAGAAGGACTGGAGTTCCCCTATGTCCAGGGCCTAAGGTGAGTTTATGGCACCCTGATGAGTTCCAAAGTCTCACTTAGCCTCCTGCATTGTGAGGAGGATCCAGTGAAGCACAAGCAGCTCAACAGGAATCTAGAAGAATATCCGAACCCAAATGACCCCCAAGCTACCAGCTCAGTCCTGAAGAACTGGACAGTGGCCCCTTCATCCCACCCTGAGCCTCCTCGGGTATTCTACCCTAGCTTCTGCTAACTGGAAGCCCTCCCTCCCCACTCCTGTCCCAGGTCCTGAGATAGTAGGGCATGCCATGAGGTCACCAAGTGCAGGGGGAGGGCTGCCAAGCTATCTGCTGTCCTGCAGAGCCTGAGTGATGTGACCTCAGTGGCAAGAGCTCTTCCAAAGGGCCTGTGAAGAGACCTTCCCAACAGCCTTGATCCACCATTGGCCAGCTCCTCCTCCCCCTCCCAACTGCCTCTCCAGCCTGGAGCTCCTCTCAGCCCCCCTGCAACTGGGCCTTTCAGCCTAGTCAGGAACAAAGCTCATGGAAGGTGACCATCTCTGCAGCATTTGCCATCATCATTCATCTTTTCTCCAAGAAGTTTTAGCAGAGACCCTGACTCGGTCTTTTGCTGATAGACACAACAGTCAGCCCAGCAAGAGTGGGAGGGCTGGAGGCAGAGGGGAGCCAGGAGTCAGAGGGCGGAGGGCCTTTGCACCCACACAGTGGCATCCCGGTCTTCTCTCCAGGAGGATCCAGGCCTTACAGTCCTTGGACCCCCTCCCGTGTCCCTCTCCCTCAGTCTTTCCATCCTTCCCATCCCTTTCTTCATCTCTAGACACCCTGACCCCACCTCCCTCCCTCACTGTCCCTCTCTCACTTCCTCTCTCCTTCCTAGCCCTTCGCATCAGCCTTCTACCCAACCACTCCAACCCCAAGTCCATCCTCACTCTTTCCAGAAAACCCTTCCCTCCCTCTTGCTCTTTTCCAACTTCCTTCCCTTGCCTCTTTGTCCAGGCGGCTGGACCCACAGCAAAGCCCAGCTGCTGGGGATAATGAGAAGGGAGGAGGCAGCCCCTGCGCTGCAGACCCCGCTGCAAAACCCAGATTCCCACACCCCTCCACTCTGCCTCCTGTCTCCAGCTGGGAAGCCAGCTCTCTGGAAGGCTAAAGCTCCTTACCCACAACCTCTGACCTCTGGTGAGCCACCTCCCCACACTCGTGTCTCATTGTGGGCCAATGCTGCTCACTCTGAAGTTTCATCTTTGGCTTCTGAGCCATCACCCTGGTGCCACCCAATAATCTGAGGATTGAGAACCAGGGCAAGGAGTGGTAGCTAAGGGCCCTCAACTCAGAAGGCCTCAATTCATGCAGTGAATGTTTTCTGGCAGCAAGCTTTGGCCACATGAACTAGTGAAACAGATAAACATGACAGCATTATTTAAAAAAAAGTTTGCAAGCCAGACGTCGTGGTGCAGGCTATAATCCCAGCAGCTTGGGAGGCTGAGGCAGGAGGATCACAAGTTCAAAGCCAGCCTCAGCAACTTAGCAATACTCTGTCTCAAAAGAAAAAATTAAAAGGGCTGGAGATTGTTGCTCAGTGGTTAGCACCCCTGGGTTCAATCCTTGGTGCCAAAAAGAAAAAATATATAGATATTTACTACCTGGGTACAGTGGCATATACCTGTAATCCTGGCAACAGGAGAGCTGAGGCAAGAGGATCGCAAGTTGGAAGCCAGTCTCAGCAACTTAGCGAGGCCCTAAGCAACTTAGCAGGACCGTGTCTCAAAAATAAATGATAAAAAGGATTAATGGATGTAACTCAGTGGTAAAGTGCTCCTGGATTTAATCCTCAGTATCAATTTTAAAAGATCTTTTTTTTGGCAGGGAGGATACAAGGGATTGAACTCAGGGGCACTCAACCACTGAGCCACATCCCCACCCCTAATTTGTATCTTATTTAGAGACAGAGTCTCACTGAGTTGCTTAGGGCCTCACTAAGTGGCTGAGGCTAGCTTTGAACTCATGATCCTCCTGCCTCAGCCTCCGAGCCACTGGGATTACCGACATGTGCCACCACACCCGGCTCAATTTTTTAAAAAAAAATTTTAAATGAACAAAGTTTGCAAATGCCATGCAGGCTTGGTGGTGAAAGTAGAAACAGGCAAGATCAACTTTATCCCCTCAGAGGACAGGAGAGTCTTCCAGGGTGAATAGGACTTTGCCATGCAAAGAAGGGGAGAAACCAACTTTTATTGTGGGAATTCTATGTGCTAAATGCAATGTGAGTCATATTATATATTTAATCCCATTCTGCAGATTAGAAAAATGAAGCTCAAAGAGTGAACTTGCAAATGGCAGAGAAACAGCATTCCAAGTCCACTCCCATCCTACTGCCCCAGCACTCTCAGACAAGCAGATGGGCAAATTTGTATGTGAAGCACACAGATGTAAAAAGGTGTGCCATGTTTAGTGTGGCTAAAGAATATGGTACCCAAGGTGTGCCATGTTTAACGTGGCCAAAGAATATGGGGCGTAAGGGAGTAGATGAAAGAAGAAGAAAAGGAAAGAGGCAGACTGAGGACCATGTGGGAAAGAAGAGGACCAGAGACCCCATTTCCCTCATCTCAGGCTACCATATTTTGTTGTAGTACTTGTTATCCAGTGTGTGTCTTCAACAATAGAAATTTTCTCACAGCTCTGAGGCTACAGTTGGAGATGTGGGAGCCTACATTGTCAGGCCCCGAAAGAGCCCTCTTCCTAGCTTACAGAACTCTCACTGTGGGCTCACAGGTGCGCTCCAGGAGGAACTCTCTCTTCCTCTTATAAAGCCACCAATCCTGATTAGGACTCTAACCATATGACCTCATTTAACCCTTATTACCTCCAAAAATTCCTGTCTCTACATACAGTCACACTGGGGAGGAGGGAGACGTCAATAGGTAAATTTGCAGGAAACAATTCAATCCATAGCCCTCTCCAGCCAGGGTCCTGCCCTCCACTGTCCCTCACCCCTTCCATCCCCCCCGTCCCTATCAGGCTGAAGCTCCTGACCCAGGAAGACAGACCCTGTGCTCCTTGGAGCCAGTCAGCCAGCTTCTCCTTCCACCAGAGCTGTCCTTAGGACCAGAGGGACCAGGACAGGAGGGGAGGGGGGGAAAAGCACTAAGCAGGGGGCCTTGGCCCTCAGTCTTTCACTTCTCCCCAGCTGGCTGCAGCCAGGACATGGGTGGAAGCAGTGTCTCTTGGCTGGGAGCAGGTCAGGACAAGGACACTCTTCAGGGGAAGGAAGGGAAGCCAAGAGAGGAAGAGGAGGGAGACTGACCCAGGCTTATTCCACATTGCACAAATTTGTGTTGAACCCCAAAGAGAACAGTGCAGAATAGGGCAGCCAGGGGTTGGGCGGGAGGTGGGGCCTCCGAGCACCCCAGGATGCACCCTGAATGGCAGATTTGACACGCAGTGAATACTAAAATGGGACATATCCTTAGTTCACCCCACTCCCACCTACACACACACACACACACACACACACACACACATGTTTCCTTCTTTAGCATCAAGAATTAGAAGCCTAGGTGGTCAGGCAGATCTGGGTGGCAGATCCTTTCAGCCATTGACTAGCTGCATGGTTTGGGAGAAGTCACTTCTCCGGGCATCGAGCCTTGGTTTCCTCAGCCCTAATACCCACCTCACAAAATTAAGATGTGGGAAGCCTAAAAAAATACATCAGACGTGACCCTACTTTATAGCCTGTGGGACGCTGCACAAATAAACGTTCCTTATGAGAAGAATGACAATTCTGTTGCTCTGTCATTGAGCACTCAGTGTATGCCAAGTGCCATATCACAGGAATGGGACTCGAGAGTAAAGTGGCTCATCTTGTTCATTGCTGAATCCCAGGACCCAGCACAGTGCCTCGCACACAAGAGACCTTTGGGAAGTATCTGTTAGAAGCTTTGCCACATGTTATCTCATTTAATTTTTTTCCCCCACTACTGGGGCTTGAACCCAAGGTTGCTTTACAAACTGAGCTACATCCCTAGCCCTTCCTATTTTTTTATTTTGAGACAAGTTCTTGCTAAGTTGCTGAGGCTGTCCTCAAACTCGCGATCCTCCTGCCTCAGTTTCCTGAGTCCCCGAGATGACAGGCATGCTCCACCTGACCAGATTTATCTCATTAAATCTTGAAAACAACACTATGTAAGTACTATTATTTATCCTCAGTTGATGGATATGGAACTGTGGATTCAGAAATTAGGTAAACTTCCCAAGGTCCAAACATAATAAGTGACAAAGAGGGATTCGTGCCCAGGCTATCTAGACCCAAACCTACATTGATGCGGAAGGAGATGACAGCGTATTAAATCAGGGATCATCAGATCCAGTACCCTGCCTTCAGGCACACACACATCTGCTTCCGGTGCCTCTGCCAAATCCCCCGTCTTCCATTAGCAGTCCCATCCTTGCCCCATCTCTGTCCCTAGCCCCAGGCTGCTCAGGATATTGAAAAAATCACCACCCCACTCTGCCTGGAAGTTGGGACATCTCCCCGGCAACCTCCTCTCCCAGAGGCTATCCAAGTGCTGGCTCTCCTGTCTCACTGATATTTCCTGTTTCAGTGAGGCTTCTCCTGCCACCAGAGCCATCCTTAGGACCAGTGGGACCAGGACAGGAGGGGAGGAGGGAAACAGCACTGAGCAGGGGGCCTTGGCCTCCAGCCACCTACTACCACCTTAACTCAACTGTTGTCTTTTTTTTATTAATTTATCTAAATCAACATTCACTGAGCA